ACATTGAAACTTCAAATCTATGTCAGTAAAAGCAATTGATATGAGCAGACAGTGCAAGAAAATAAACTTTACACGGGCATCTTCTTGTGCCTAAAATGTGTTGGCACAGGGGATAGACCGTTCAAACACACTACTTGAAAACTTTCCTTGAGTTTAGGTTTAAATTAACTGAGACAACAAACACAAATAGTATGGTCAAACAAGAAATAGTGAAACAAAAACCAGGGAGTTTGCATTGAGTATAGTTACAGAGTTTGCTGCAAGCAAACCCATAAGTAAAAGATAAGTTGACTGCAAATAAACAAAACATAGTTTTTTTTTAATAAAAAAAGTATATATTTAAAAAGCATCATGGAGATGCAACCTGCATATACAAGTATTTATAAGTCAAGCAAAACGTCAATCAAGTCTCCTAAATCCTAGCTTGAAATAAGCAGCAGACACTTGATTGAAAAAAAGAATACCCATGAACTTTCTTCAGCTCTTTTTTTTTTATCACAAAAATTCATTGTTCTTGTAATTTATAAAATTATTCTTTTCCATTCAAGGAAACCTTGATCAATGAGTTTGTAGTTTAATTTTTTTCCATTGTTAAATAATAATTTTGTTCTTGTAATTTATAAAACTATTCTTTTCCATTCAAGGAAACCTCGGTCAATGAGTTTGTTAAATTTTTTTCCATTGTTAAATAATAAACACAAATAATATAACTTAAACATGGAAACAACTTCACAAAATTTCAAGCTCAACAAGATCATCAGGCAGGTTGCTAACATGAATTATTATCGTTCATAAAAATTCCTAAAATATTATCCTAGTTATATGTTGCTCTTGCATACAAACATAAAACAGATGTTGCTAATAAATAAGGTAGAGCACTTTTTACAACCAGTTCAGAAAAAAAGCTTATCAATGTTCTGGAGGAAAATTTTGACCTTAAATGTGTGGACCATTACAATGTGGAAACAAGCAAACCGACTTCTGAGGGCTGCGATATTAACAGGAGCTTTAAGACCAGCTAATAGATCTATTAGCTCTGAAAATCGAGAAGAACAAAACCATGTATGCTCCTGCACCATAACATAAAAAAGTTAATTCAGTACCTAATCACAAAACTTTTCAGAGCAATTATCCCTTCATCCAAGAATAAGATGGCTTACAGACCTCTAGAATTCTTTGCAAAGCATGATATGCCTCAGGATGACCAATCTCATCAGCCGCCTGTATACCAATGTTTAAAAAATTTCTTTGGTCCATGTTTTGATCAAATTGGCATCTAAATGAGGTTATACAAGAAGTACGCATAACTTATGCCTAAAAAAATTAATTATGTACCTGAAAAGTTTGCTGAATTAAACTATATATTAAATCAACAAGATCTTCCTTGGCTCCTTCTACAAGAGAAGATGCTAGATCCATTATCACACACCTGTATGAAATGCAACATGTTTCTCAGTTGTCTAGAACAAGATTCAATTATGGTCAGTGTCTATGGCAGCAGTGAAGGAAGTTTATATCAAATCATCAGCTTTCCACTGTTTATGGCTTCAAGTGCTCCTATTGGTGTCACGCTAGTGGCTTCAATGACTTTTCATGATGAAAAACGGGATGGTACTCAGTTCATAACAACTATGAGAGATTTTTAGGTTTATTATAGAGTGTGACTTAAGAAAATCTTTTCTGGAATGCACTTTTTAGTTTCTTATTAATGTGAACAATGACATCACCTTGAATGATAGAGTTCTTGTCTCAAACACTAGGAAAGATAGTTTAGAAATTTGGGACGCTGGATGGTTATCACCTCATGAACCAAATTTGGAGAAGTACCCTCCCTGGTAGTCAAGATCAGAGACATTGGTGAGTCTGCACTTCACAAATCAGATTTCAGAAAGTACCCTTCCTGCTAGTCAAGACTTCTATAACAATAGAAGATAGAACACTTCATTTACCAGCATCAAGAATAGATGGTTTTATTATTTTGGTTCCTTATTCTTGGGACATGATATACAGGACCTAGAAGATTTGGGGATGATTTTAGATCATTTGATTGAGTTGTAAATGTCATATATTGGGCAGCTACCCCCTTGGTACCTTTGGAATGAATTCTCTTTTTCATTTCAGAAAAAAAAAAGAAGATAGAACACTTCATCTAGACAAGTACCAACTAAACCATACAGCTGACTATAGAGAATGTCACTTAAATCACATCCTTAATAATGCTACTAAAACCTCTTATGCTGGTTGTGCACCAACTACCACCAAATTTCATCAGGACATTTATAGGAACAAAATCACCAAAGGAGAACATACAAGCCAAAAATGGCCGGAAGTTACTCCCAATGGAACATCCCATACTCATAAGTTCACCACCCGCAACCTTGCTCTCTAATATCCAACAAACAAAAAAAAATGAGTGAACTTTCAAGGCATCCAACTTTAAAAGCAAGCCTGGCATCCCATATTACCAACATCCCTCCAGTTGCACCACAGGGAGTGAAAACAAATTTCTTGGATCTAAAGTTCCAAAGTTCAAAACATTATCCATGTCCACCAACTCTAATTTTGTTTTTCATAAGATCACCACATCGAGACTAGCTCTAACTATAATCTTCTTTGACTTTGCACTTCATAAATTTCCTAACCCACTCACATTCTTCATTTTACCCCCCTGCCTATTGACCAATTAACTGAGTCTCTGTTGCAAGTGTTTGAAGTTCTATTTTTGTTCTCTTTATAGCGTCTAAAATAGCCCTCCATTAAAGAAAAAGGGATAGCCTTGATTTCCTCTATGAAAAATCTAGTCATGATAGGGGTGAAGTGGGCTCTTTTTTTGAGGGTTGACCACATGAAGAAATGCTTTAAAGCTCTACAAATTGTGCAGGCCTATGTCTTGAATGTCATACTACACTCACCAAACAAGAATGCACATCGCGCACTTAACCAACCAACCTTTTTGAGAGAGTGGACATTTTTTTCAGAGAAAACGGAGAATATGCATTAAGAGGCACCAAGGAGCTATGTGTATTAAAAGGTGCTTATGTTTCTACCAAGTTGAAGTGATAATATCTATATAAAAATGTGAGTTAGGCACATATATAGCAAAATGCAGTAGATCAAATTCAGATGCAAAACAAAGTTAGAGTGCACACAATAGAAGCTATAGAAAAGTCATCCCATTTACCTCCAAGAATGTGTCTCGTTAGTGCTTAGCTTCTCTGGTTTTTCGTCAATTGATTCTTGATTCTGAGTCTCCCGGTTTTTGAAGTCATCTTCACCATTTATCAAGTCTAACTTCTCGAGCAAAGACATGAAAATTCTTTTGGTGCAAGAAGAATCAGTAATAGAAGCCAGGCATCCAACTGCCTCCTGAAAAAAAGAAATCACAAATATGTTATGCTTTTGATTACCAACCTATGGATTGATGTCTACATTCAAAGCAAAACCAAAAAAGAAAGAGCCAAAAGCACACAACCATCACGATGCTCATTAGATCACACATCATTTTGAGAAGCTAAATCAATGAATAGCAAATGGTCATTCTCCAACCGAGGAATGTATATCAATTATAATAGTCCTCGAAATTGTGAGAAAAGAAGTGGAATGACAAAAGGACATGTTAAGAGGAAGTAAATCAGGGTGTTAAAGAGAAAAGAGATCAGGGTGTGAAAGAGAAAGTAAACCAAAATGTTAGAGAGAAAACAGATTAGGTTAAATGGTACAAGGGTAAAATTACATCCTTTGTAATTAATTGTATATTTCATTTTTTCTATTCTGAAAAATCTGTATATATAGGGCTATAATATTTACGATAATACACATCAATCAAAATATCATTCTTAAGAAGGTGCAACGTAATTTTGTATTTGGTAGACACAAGAACCGAAAACCAAATTTGAAAATGCATGTAATATTTAGTTTTAAAGACCACAATATGGACTGTAAGCTGAACAAACTAGGTCAAAATTAAATGCAATCAAATATTAAATGTGTTTTTCAGAAAAATTTTCAAGACAAAGGAAAAGTATGGTGACAAAAAAGTTCAGTTGCTATACTGCAGAAAACTGATTTTTAGAAAAACAACTCATTTTTTAGAAGTCAAATTGAAAATTTAAAAAAAAATTTGTTTCCTGCCTTTTGTAGTAAAAATAGATAAATCAATTAAGTGGGAAGGGTTCATAAGGGATCAACAGAGTAGCAAATTTTTTTTCTTTTGAGATAAGATCAACAGAGTAGCAAATAAATTCACTTCACGATAGGAAAGGATAACCAGAATCAAACATGAGGAAAGGGTGATGGCCGAACCTTCAAATATGGGCAGGTCCCAGGGGGTGAATCAACAAATATGTCTATTAGGGACTGAAGCAACTTGGTGGAGCATGAGGCCAGAGCCTTGATGTTTCTGCTTGCAGTTTTCTCTGAATAAGTGGCTTCAATTTCAAACTCTAATCTGGAATCTTTGGTTGTGTAGATATTTGAGTCGCTTGTGTTGATTTTAGAGCCAAGAATACTTTTGTTTTTATTCACAAGAACCTAGATACAAAACAAATAAAGAAAGAAAGAAATCAGAAAATTTAAAAAATCCAACTAATGAGAAACCATATAGCCTAAGCTAGAAAACAAAAGAATTCAAACAAACGAGAAACCGGCCCTCTCCCTATAGTCCAATCTCAAAAATCAAGCAACAAGCAAGTTCAAATGAATAAGCTGCTCATATTTTTTAAAGCAACTTAGGACAACAAATCACAAGAATTCACCTGCAAGGAAACACTGATGCTTTCATGCATAAAAGAGTACTTATTGAGAAATTTGATTAAAAGCTCAGCCAAAGAATCAAAATTTTGGTGCAAATCAACAGGATAGCGACAATAGGCAGGTAGAAGCTCCCAAAGGCCACGGGCATGAGACTGCAGCTCTTGCCCAATAACTGAAGTTTTAGCTGAAAAAGACAACATAGAAATGAAAGATGATGATTGTAAAAAAATAAACTTATGCCATTAAAACTTAGATTTCTCTGAAGTCAGTTGAGCACCACAAATTGTAAACAAACAATTGTCAGAAACTTTGACTAAGGTTGGGTTTTGCTTACAAATACATCATGGTTAAACAACTAGAAATATTGATAGTAACCAAAAAGGAAAGAAATGTTTAATACAGAAAGATGTGTACCTAGAAATATAAATTCATTTGTAATCTCATGCATGTGCTCGAGTGTATAAATGTGCCTGATTTTGCACAATATCCTTAAAGGATAATTAAGTGCAGGCATGCCTCATCACAAGCTTGTAATAGGTCCAACCTTGCCAGCCTTGTCAGGTTGGCAAAAAACGTCCAACCTTGCCAGCATCACCAAGTGTTGCATAAATTTTCTCAATGGATGCATCTTAAGTTACCAAAAAGCAAAACTTTTTATGTTCAATATCATATTAGATTATCCGGGTTTTACACTTCAACCACCAAGGAAAAAAACTTAACACTAATTTAAGAAGTCTCTCCAGATGCTTTATACCTTTACAACCAGCCCGCCAAGTTGATTTTGCAAGAGGTACAACATAGTCCATATAATGCCCTAGAGAAGCTCCAACAACATGTTTCTTCAAGATAGGTACCAACCAAATGTTTGAACAAGTGAAATCATTCGTGTCAAGGGTGATAGGCAAAAGTACTAATAACCTTTCTGATCCCATTGCTTTTACTGCAGCCCCAACACATTCCCGGAGCTGCAAATAAAAAAAGGACATCAATGAACATTTCAGTTAAAATTTGAACCCACCAAAAATTATGTCCATGAGCTATAGCTTCAACAAGGATAAGATCAGGACAAATTCAGAAATGACTATTTATAAAGTAAAACAATTGGGACAGATTTTAAATAATCTCCAGTTGCATATTCAACTAGAGGGTCCAGTTCACAGATATAATGGTATTTACGTGTTTTAAGCACCTAGTGATGATGGATGTTTGCCAAGTCAAATTTATAACCGATACTAAATAAGAAATTCGAGGTGTAATGATAGAATAACAACCGTTCATAAAAATTTAAGAAACTTATGGATACCAATCCAATCATAAATTTGACTCTCTAGTTTATTTCAAAAATAAATAAATTTGACTCTCCAGTTGAATACAGATTAAAATCACCAGGTGCTAGGGTCGTAACAAATCATGCAAGACATCTCAAGCAGTAATCATTCTATCCAAGGAATGATCAATTTCTCTGGTATACAAACCAAAAATCTCAATTACAGATATCAATCTCCAACATACTTGTACAGGAACTCTTTATCCTAGATAGTGCACAAAAAGAGAAGGTAAGAATGTTGTTTAACCACCACCAATCAATGAGGCCCGAGCATCCTAATGAGATAAGATCTTCCAAGAAACTATTCTAAATACTGGAAATAGAAAATATTGGTGCTTAGTGGAACAATGGATGTAGTTCACTTGAGAATAATCATTAATTTTGACCTCACACCTAGTAGAATCCCAGCATTCTAGAGAAGCAAAGAACAGTCTGTAGAAGCCCTTGTCAATAAGGCAACAATTATAAGAAGCTTCAACAAGACTTACATTGTCAATCTTTGATGCGTTGCTACTTGCAACCTTCATGATTTTGGCAAGCTTAATTACAATGCTCTTCATAAAGCGATATGAGAACTCTCCTACAACCAGAAGAAAATGAGTTATAAGTATTACCAAATCTAGACATGGCAAGTTATCTAGACTCACTACTGAGAACCTGAGATGCAGAGGCATGTAAATATCAAAATGTTGCCAGGTTGGAAAATGAAATAATTCATTAATATGAGACAGAGATAATGAAGAGAGGGAGAGAGAAGGTAGCACTTATTGCAATATCCAAACCAACTGTAAAGATTCAATGTCAACTCAAACCTATATTTATGTGCAAGCTTATGCTCTCCTAGAATAGCTCATCATGAAAAATCTTATCAGAACTACATAATAGAACGAGAATTACCAGCCATTTATTTATGAAGGAACAAATTACCAGGTATAACCAAAAAAAAAATCCAAATATATATATATAGAGAGAGAGAGAGAGAGGAAAAAATATGTAGCACAGACAGAAGAATAGTTACAAGATTTGTAACTACGTGCATATTGGGAACAAACATATAAAAGAATTGAGGAGTGAATGGTTAAAGACCTCGTATTAATGCTTGAATATAAGACTTCTCATCAAATAAACGGTTACATTATGTAATGCTTTGGCCAACAACTGCATGCAAACAAGATTAACAAATTGATCCTACACTTATAATTTCTAGCAAGGACTAATACTGAAATTGCTAGACTGAGGTAGAATTTCAAGTTAATCTTGGAAACCAATAACTAGCACAAGTCAGGTTGCTTATAACCTTACAGGGAACTGACATTAGTTGTTTGAGCATTCCTACTCTTACTTCCAAACAACGATAACTTGTAAATCTAACTTCAGCAATGACTGTGTAGTAATTCAGTTTATTACATTAAACAGCCTCATTGATCCCATATCAAGCTGTGCCCAAGCAGCAAAGTAAGCCAACTTTTAAGACAGTAAAACCATTGGTAAAAGACTAAAAACTTCATACATCATATGTCATTTTTAAAAGCATTAAGCCCAATAAAAGCAATTTTTAACACAGATGGTACACCAGTCACCATCAGAAGATACATTTATCCACATATGATCTACCAAATTCAATCAAAAATAACCATATATCAAAAGATGATAATTCAACAAGCAAAAGAAACCACTCTGAGACTTCACTATAGATTTCTCCAGTAAAATATCATGTAGAAAATAGTTCACTTTTGGGTGAAACCAACAAAACAATCCAGATGTTCAATAAATAATTGATTGATGTAAATAATGTTCTATGCAGTGATTTGAAAGAAAAAAAGGGAAGGAAAAGAAACTAGATACCAAGTGTACTGAACAAGACAGAAACTATGGCCAGAATATGCTCGTCTGGAATTCCAGCATATGAACTAAGGGTATCCTCAAAGAGTGCACATGTAGATCTTATTGCATTTGCCTCCTCGAATTCCACTCTATCATCCCCGAATGGTTGGACTCCTTTACTCAAGAGAACCTTGCAATCTATATGATGGCTAATCAACTCTGTTATGATAGTTGAAGCCTGTGATGCAGGGGTAGTCTCAGAAGTCAAAAGACCTAAATCAGTATTGAAAACAAAAATCAGAGATCCTACATGCACAAGCAACACTCTTAACCTAGAACAGACATAATAAGAGTAACAGTTTGAAATGTCCTTCCATATAGAAAGATTAACGAGAACCACAAAGAGCGCACATAACCAAATTCCAAGATAAAAAAGCTCAAAAGTTTATACCTCACACAGGAAGCATAACTCCTGCATTATCTGTCAATCTTATAAACCGAACCATGTATCACATAAACCTATGCAGTCTACCCACAGTATTGCATACAAATGAAAATGGAAATGGTGCACCATGGTTCTACACCTGTAGCATGTACCATAAATCCATAGCGAACTACAACCTATATGACAACTATGGAATACGCTAGAGAAACTTCAACTGAGTGAATACGACAACTTATCATTGGAAAAGTTTAACGAAAAGGAATAACCCACAACTATTTTAAATATTGATCGAAATATGATATGACCATAGAAGACCAGAAAGAGTTTATTTATAAGAAGACAGTAATGCAGGGGTAATATTTTTTGGCTAAAAAAATAAGTACTAAACACCCAAGGAACATTTAAATTATCTTATCAAGTTCACAATTGTTGATGTAAGCAACATTGGAAAACTACATTACCTGAAAACAATGAAAAAGGAAAATCACACACAATTATGAGCATTTTTTTTTTTTGAAATAAAAGTATGGATGATACACAATTATGAGCATGGCAAAATCAAACATAGAAATCCAAAAAAAAAAAAAATAGTTGAAGATGAATATGAATATGAATATGTTGTGGGTAAAGACTTTTTCTTACAAGAAAAAGGAAAATACATGTATTACCAAAGCACCAAGGGATGCTACTGTTATGGATACAAATATAAAAGACGCAGCAAGAATAAGAAATTGACGTTCAATTAAATATAAAATCCTAATTATATTAAATTCTTAAGTAGTTGGAATTCTAATTAGTTTTTTTTTTTCACAAGTGAAAAGTAGTAGAGTAGTATTAGTATAAGCACCAAAGGTGCAAAAAGAGCATAAACAATTATTTACAATTTAGTCCTACATATCAATAATTTTCCTAAAAGACTCAAAATATATCGGATAATATATAATTAATATTCTAATTAATATTAAATTTCTAAATAATATATATATTTTCCATTAGTATTTGATTTATAAATAATGTAGGATTTCTAATATTTTAGTAGAGTAGTCTTTATTAGATTTAAATTCTAAATTATATTAACATGCCTAAATAAGAAATGTAATCTCTATATAAAGAAGCATGTTTGCTATTAATAAAATAAATTAGAATATTATTTTGAAGTACAACATTGAAGCTCTCTCTAACGAGATTCAAGATAACAGCTTCCTTTGATGAGCTGTAATCTATTTTTACAAAATAAATCGCTCAAGAAATCACAACAAAGAGAAAAAGCAGACTATGGAACCAGAAATTTTAGATAACCACTCAGTGACAAGATCTTGATCTCGGGAACATAACAAATTGATATCGGAGCCTAACACAATGGGCAACTCTACAATAATAGAAGATTTATGATTGATGGTAAAGAAAGCTCTCGCTGCAAACGAAGCACGAACAGCAGAAATCAAAAAACGCTTAGGCAATCAGTTGCAGAAATTATCCTTGCAATTCAAGAAGATGTTAGCTAGAATTGGTCAGAACATGTAAACCGTTTCGAAAGGAACTGCTAGTAATCATAACCCGCGAGAACAACCGCCTTAAGTGTTTCACGTGGGAAGTCGTTTGCAAGGCACAAACCATCATCCAAGTAATGTGGTTGTTTCTCGCTATACTAAATTAGACTTTTCAACTTTCGACAGTTCTGAAGATGCTCTTATCTATTTATATTGGTGTGAGAAATTTTTTACCAATAAACACACACCGAAAGGAAATAAGGTAGGATTGGCTGCTTTCTACATACTCAGTGAAGCACAACTTTGATATCATCAATTAGAATCCGAACAACCCACAATTAATTGGGCTAAATTCAAAAAATACTGTTCGATAAGGTTTGGACCACCAGCTGGAAGTAACCTGTTGGGCCGCTGGTGAACTTGAAACAAACAAAGTCAATTAAGGAGTATCAGAGGCAGTTTCAGAAAAAAATTGACATGGGCAAACAGATTTGTTCGAATTGATTAGCATGTAAGTTTGTTCACAACAGGACTGATCAATTACCTCCGCCTAAAAGTCGAAATGCAATCACCTACCACTCTTGTTAATGCAATGAGTATGGCCAAAACTTTTGAAAAGAAATAGTAGTTATGGATTATGATAAAATGCAATCATAGTGACATTTCTCAATTCGTGACCAAGCGTAACAATTCAGTTCAGGAAACACCGATTCTACAGAGTAGCAATATTACGACACAATCTACTAACATTTTCTCTCAGTTATAAAGAAATTAACAAGAACAGAGATGGCAGAAAGAAACCTAAAGGGGTTATATTATAACTGTGATGAGTCGTTTGTTTCGGATTACCAATGTAAACGCTATTCTGGCTCAAGATTGAACGTGATAATAGACAACAAGAAAATACCAACGAAACAGTTACATCCACATTTCAAACTTGAGGACAAGCTTAAAAACCAGGGGGAGAGTAATGTTATGAATGCAAATATAAAAGGCACAGTAAGAATGGAAAATTGACGTTTAATTAAATATGAAATCCTAATTAGTATTAAATTGCTAAATAGTTAAAATTTTAATTAGTAGTGAATTCCTAAATAATATATATATTTTCCATTAATATTTGATTCCTAAATAGTATTGGATTTCTAATATTCTTAATTAGATTTAGATTTCAAATTAGATTAACATTTCTAAATAAGAAATGTAATCTCTATATAAAGGGGAATGTTTGATATTAATAAAATAAATCATAATATTATTTTAAAGTACGAGATTGGAACTCTCTCTAACGACATCTAAAATAGCAGCTCTTTTTGATGAGTTGTAATCTATTTTTACAAAATAAGCTGCTCAAGAAATCGCAATAAGGAGAAGCAGATTATGGAACCAGAAATTTTATATAATCACCCAGTGACAAAATCCTGATCTCGGGAACATAACAGCCACACAATTACAAGAGCCATACAGGTCAAAATATCTACTAGGTCCCTCAAATCGTCCTCGAAGAAGGAGAGGAAAAAAAAAAAGAAAAAAAAAGATGCTTGCCTTCAAACAAAAAACCAAGGGTATAGAACAACTGATCCCAAACTCTACCAAATGGAGAAACTAATCCCTCAAAAACCCTTCTATTTATGTGTAAAAGTAAATGTTAGTGAAATTCTAATAGTGGTAGGTTAAAATTATGTGCAGCATGGTAAATCAAAGTATCAATCTTCAAAGAATTCCAACACAATGCTATTTCCAATCTTCCCAAGAAATCAGACATGCATGCAAAGCTGTCTACGAACAATAAATGCGCTAAGAACATACCTCTTAGAGAACCGCAAACTATGGGAACATAACTTAATGCTGATTTTGAATCTACAGCATGAAGCTTGGCCAGAGCACTTTTTAATAGGCTTGCTGCAGACATAATAGTGTCTGCAGGATTCTTCTCTCCCAAGGATGTATATTCAGTAAGAGAATTGATAATGTTCTTTATCTCAGGAATGATAACTTCATCATTTGAATTTTCAAAGAAACCTTCAATAGCTTTAAATATCTGCCTAGTAAGTGGCGAGAACTCGGAACTCATAAGCTTGCAAAGTTCTGACAGAAGTTTCGAAAGTACTTTCACGGAAATATAAGGAATAGTAAGGTTCAGTAAGTTCAGCATGTGGAGGACCTCTACCTGCTCAGGCTTTGTATTCAACTTCTCTTTCGACCCATCTAAGCTCCTCGTATTACTTAAGGTAACTGCTACAGGCATGTAAGTCATAAGCAACGATTTCGCTAGCTTACTCGCATTCTTAATAACAGCTGAGGACTGAAAAGACTTAAGAACCTTCTCTAGACACTCTTGAGCACATCTTCTGATCTGCAACACAAAAAGCATCAAGTTACAGCGTGATTCGTTTAGCTTCGTGCTGAAATTTTATTTACAGCAACCTCAATTTGAGAAAATTAACAACATATCACATTCGCATGTGCTTGCTGAGGAACCCATGTATTTGATGCCAGATTTCTACTTAAAGCTAATTATCTCCCCCCAAGGCTAAACATATGGACACGAAATCATTATGCAAAAAAACTGTGTTCACGTGTAACCTGGGGCCGGCCTATCCAATTCGGAGAATTTGAGAGAAGGGAATCGGGACCCCTTATCGGAACGAAATCCCCA